TGCCCATATGTCTTTGTATTTTGGTTTTAGTGAAACTGTATAACACTGATGTCTTTTTTTAACCTGCTGTATTCTTTTATTTTTTTATTTTTTTCACCTTGTTAAAGTTTTTTTGTTGTGGTTTGGTTTGTTACATTTTTGCAGGAGCTTGCACAGGTGTGCACAGCTGCAGCTGTCACCCAGCAGAGCGTATGAACACACACATATGTTATGGCTTCATGTGAAATAAGTTTTCCAGCCTCCAAGGGAATAGAAGCAGGAGCAGGGTGACTTCATGTAGTAAAATCTTTAGTCATCTGAACAGTAGTGTGCCAAAAGCTTAATGTTACAAGGGGAAAGGAAAAGGAGAGTCTGAAACAGGCAACAAGCAGCCTCAGCTATGACGTACCTTTAAATACATTGGTAATACATGGGTAATATTAGTGCGGGCACATGTAGGGTTAAACCTAACACTCAGGACAATATAATAAGCATAACCTTTTGTTCCTAAAGCAAAGGGCCTCCAAGTAACCCTCCCTCTGTGGTTTTGGGAATCCAGCCCTTTACAGCAGAGCAACTTGCTGGTGGAGTGGGTTTACAAAACCCTTGAAGACATCTCTACTGATGCCCAGCGGTAACAGACACATCTTCCCACTAATCTCTCCACACTGCTCAAGACAATTCAATAAAACTATGCCTCAGAGAGACCGCAGGATGATAATATTCCAGCACCATACTGCAGCAAGTGAAATATTCCAGACCCTCCCAATTGAGGCTGTAATTCCATTGAGGGTTTCTGGTGACATTAGCCAACCCCTCAAGTCTTTCCCTTGATGGAATTAGAGACCTGCTATGGTCTGTGAGATAGACATCAATGCTGATGTCATTAGCATCAGCTCTGGTTCTGTCAGAAAAGGTTGAAGCATTGAAAAGCAGCCTTTAAAACTAAAAGCTAATTGAAATATTTAATGGCAAGCCAAAGAGCTTGCATAAGTGTATGTGAAAAGCAGTTTTCAAAGCAGCATTAGCAGAAAGATACAACAGCATACCAAGAAAACATTTGTATCATTTATCTTGTATATTACAATCTGCAGCCTTCTTGCTTTTCACCTTGAATCACAGAATCACAGAATGGCCAGGGTTGGAAGGGACCTCAAGGATCACGAATCTCCAACCCCCCTGCCACATGCAGTTCCACCAACATTCTTTGCTTGCACCAATAACTAAAATCACCTCACCGAAGGTTGTAGAGCCATGTTGTGTAAGACCATATGATCAATATTAAGCTTTACATACAAATGTACCATTAATTGCAGGGCAGCTATTGGACAGTGGTGGAACGAGTTCCTACATGGCAGTCCAGTGCTGGGAGTTACACTCACACAAACCTTGCCCTCCCCAGAAGGCTGCCTGCTTGGTTTCTGCATTTTGTCATCCAAACTGGCCTAAAAATATGCTGTCAATAAAAGCCTTTTTTTAATTGTATTTTATTTTATTTTGACAGTTGTGTAGAGGACTCTAGCATGGAGATAAGCAGTGAGTGGAGGCTGTCCACCCCCCTGCTCCTTCACCCACTGAACACTCCACCCTGGCCAGCACAGCCAAAAATGTGTCCACTGCAGAAGCTTTCCCTTATTTTTGAAAGTTAAGCTCTGCCAGAACTGGATTACCACTGGCTAATCCCTTTAACCACAAGCACATAGTGTTGGAAATGGATAACTTGCTTAGAAACCTACTCTGAGCACACACTCTGAAGACCTATCCATAACCTTTTGGCTGCTGAGCGTCATGCCTGTTGGAGCCAGTGTTGCCTGCTGCTGTTTGCTAGCTCCTGCCTCACTTAGCAGACCTCTCACACCCTTCCTATGTGAATTACAGAGGCCTTTTAACTGAGCTGTTGTACCCTACCCTCCACATTATACCAGAGCTGTGCTATTCCACCTCCTGCCTCCTTGGAATATGCTTGATATTTTAGTTAGAGGGCTGTGGAAAAGGCTATAAATGTGTGGTTTCTGCTCATTACACAGGCCTGTGCCCTATTAAACAGATGGATGTCACATTTCTCATTGCACCGGGGTCTTCTGCAACGGTTTGTGTTCTGTGTCCCACACTACACTGCCTTTCATTTACATTTCAAAACACCTGTCTGGTGCTGCGCTTGCTGCACGGAAATTAGAATTACGGCCCAACACCTGAATATTTCTGCCTCATTGATGCTTCGTTGGAGTGGAGGTGAAGGAGAGGGGGAAGAAAAAGCTTTATTATTTCATTTAGGGAGAATACAGAGAATCAGAGCTTTGTGATTAGCACTATGAAGCACAAAGGTGAGTAATGGGACAGCAGTAAGGGTGCATCTCAGCTGCTGAGTCAGCACCAAGCAGGGGGGCACCTGCACTGTTTCTTATTATGAGCATCACTGACAGTCAGACAGCAGCTGGGGTACAGATAAAGTATAGGCAGCAATACCAGTCATAACCTAATCATGGAGCTGGAAGACAGTGTCAGAACATATAATTGCTTACACAGAAAATCATCCATGGGGTCTAATGAATTATCATATAAGAAGGAGTATTATTAATATTCTGTAACAGCACAGAGGCCAGGGTGATGATGAAATAGTATATACCCAGCCTCACATTAAATCCTAATCCCTAATCGCTGTACTGCGATTCAGGGAGAGAAGTCAGAGGCAGTCAGATACATACCTAGCCACCTCATAAGTGTGGAAACTGAAACCTGCTTGATGGAGGAAGCCCTTTAAACTTTCAGCATGTTAACCTCAAATTTACAGATTCTTCTTTTGGAACAGCTGTTGCACATGTCTGCACAGTACTAGTTTCTCTACGGATGTGTATTTTCAGTGTGTATAATGCCTAGACAGTTATTCTGAATTTCCTACTATGACTGTAATGTTTGGAGCTTGTACGCAGAGCTTTACTGTCATAACAGGAGATCAGGCCCAGCTTAAAAATCACTACTAATGTAGAGCAAAGGCCTATTTCTTTTTGTCAGTTTAATATTGACCAGAGCTGGCTTAATCAATTAGTAAGAACTGTTATATTCACAGCTTTCTGCAACGATGGAAATACAGCAGTGACAGTATGCCAGTATGCCATATGTGCATCTCTTCTGTCTCGAAGGCATAACAGGGAAACAATTTATCACTGTAGTGCACCCAACATGTCCCCATCTATCAGCCAGCCTCTTTATCATATGTTTGTGCCTCCGTTTCAACAGCAGGTACCAAATGTCACACTTGTATTTATTACTATTATTTATTATTACTGTTACAATGAGAGTGATGAGGCACTGGAACAGAGGTGGTAGAAGCTCTGTGCCGGGAGACACTTAAGATCAGGCTGGACAGAGCTTTGAGCACCCTGGTCGAGCTGTAAGCATCCCTGTTCATTGCAGGGGAGTTGGACTAGTTGGCCTTTAAGGATCCCTTCCAACTATAACAAGTCCATAATTCTACTGCTCCTCAAAAACCTTTGTATTACAAAACCCAATCTTTCACCAGAGAGGACTTAGAGAAAGCACAAAGGCTGCACCAAAGCTGCTGTTGGCAGAAAGCCAAGCTCTAGGTAAACTGTTTTGGAAGCAGTTCAGGTGCCTGAACAATGTCTAGCTTGCAAACAGCATGTGAGCTTCACCTGCTGCCACCAGCTTTCCTAGAAGACAGCTGGAGAGGGAGGGAGACCACAGCCCAAAGAGGCTTGGAGGTGTTAGCACTGTCCCCAGCACCCCCAGGCTGGTTCTCATCTCAGGCCAGCCACCTGCATGTAACATGCTTCAGTCCTGTCAAACAGAGAGCTATTCTCCATGCTGAAGATGTGCTATTTTATTTATGTTACTGAGATGGCTGACTGTCATGAAATGGGTTGCAGTCATACTGAAGCAGAGAGCAGAAGTTATATTCACCTATTAACATAAAGGCCTGAAGTATTGCTAATTTCTTTAATAGTTATAACAGGAGGAAACTGCCTCTATTTGAGACATTTATTTCCAGTCTGTGGAACGGGGCTCACTCTCAGAGTTGTAATGAGTGAAAGGTAGTCTGACATCTCTGATGACGGAGAGCACAAATGTGTTTCAGTTTATTCATGTAGGGAATTTTTTACAAGTTTCAGTTCTGCTCCCTCTTTATTTCCCATGTAATTCAAGTGTGCTTTCATTAAGTGAAAGACTTGACATGAAGTGAGCTGTATAAATTAGATCATTAACCTAGGCAATTTACCTTACCTAGGATAACCTAAAGCGCATTCTGTGTCTGCTTGGCACAGATGGTGTGAACACCCACCCCTTGTGGCTTAAAATGCTGAATTCAGATCTGTTGTGTGGACCTCTCAGGAAAACACCTTGGGACAGAGTGCAGCCAGAACGTGCTACAGATCTCAGCTATTCCTGCATGTTCAGCTGGGTGTGGTTATGAGTTTCCTGAATTACTAGCATATTCATGGCAGTGGTTAATTAACTAATACTGAAGTCTCCAAGTTCAGTTGTGTTCTTGGTTTCCACAAGATGACTCAATAAGCTGTAGATATGCCACCTTCCAGTTGTTGTTAGTCTCAGTGTACCAACTCAGAAGCCAGTATATGACCTTTTCAACCAATCTCTCATAGGATATTCAAAGGTTCCTAAACAGTGTCTGTTTCCACATTTATTCTGAAACAACCAAAAAACAGAAGCAGACATCATTTAAACCACTGCAATACCTGGACATACTGCACACATCCTCATAATACAAGAAGAATGAAGCAAGTGATTCATCACAGTATTTTTTTTTTTTTTAACACGAGGAGTTCATGATTTAAAATTCATGAATTGCAAATAAACACACCTGTAATAGCTGAAGAACAGGAAAGTAAGTGCCAAGGAGTTTTCATTTCCATTATGTTCTCACTGTAACAAATCAAAATGATTTAAAATTACTTCAGTGGCACAAAAAGGCACATGCCATTGAGCGCTTAGATGAAGTCAACCAGACCAATCTTATTTATTTATTTATCTTTAATGACGGATATGAAAGAATATACAAGTGCAAGAGCAGCAGGATGTGAATGTGTACTTTGTCTATCCCAAGGCTTCCAGAATACGCACACACCTGGGAGTATCAGGGTCTTTTTGACTGTGATCTCAAACTGCTTCAGTGGGTTGGTAATGACAGGATGTTTCAGCTTTCAGGCCACTTCAGTGATTCTTTTCCTCAAAATATTTGAATTTCCTTCAGTCCACATTGTGGTACACCTTCTGTATCTACATAAGGGAACAGTAGGATTCAGACACCACATTAAAATTATACCAGTCACAGCTAGAGCAGGGCGTTTGGTGACTCAGCATGCCTTGCAGTCAACAGCTGCAGAAACACAACATTACCATTTTGCACGGGTGTCATGGCAAAACCAAAGTGTGTCCTTTAAAGAATAAATCTCCACCATCATATTACGCCTAAACTGTCAATGTCAACATGCTGATGGTTGGTTTTCAAAGCTACATAGTGTTGATGGCTAATATAATAGACAAGTATCAATAAAGTGCAATTTCAGAATACTGCTGCAGGAACTTTACAACTTTAAACAGCCTTTCAAGGCTTCTGGGCCATGTGGGCAAAATTCAGTGTTGCTCCTGGTGGCTGAATGGTGGCAAATCTTGGGGTGTAGTTGAGGGGAGCAGAAGTAGAAAAAGGGGAATGAAGGATGAAGGGGAAAGTCTCAATGGAGTTTAGTTAAGAGAGTACTGAAGGAAAAAGAGTGTAAAATAGGAAAGGGAATAGAGAGCTGGAGGTGGAAATGCTTTCTTTTCCTGCTACTGCTGGGATGGGAATAGGGGCAGCAAGTTCAAGAAGCTCTTGGACAACACTCTCAGTCATATGGTCTGATTTTTAGGTGGTCCTGTGTGTAGCCAGGAGTTGGACTCCATGATCCTTGTAGATCCCTTCCAACTCGGGTTATTTTATGATACTATGATTGTATTTGGCTGGAAGCAGCATGTGCCTTGAAGTAGTAACTTTCAACTTTCACACATCCATTGCAAGATCCATATCTCGCCTAATGGCCATGCTCACCTCTGCATTGCATTTGCTCCATACGTGAACCTATGAAGCTGTGAAGCATTCCAGCAGGAGCAAGGAAGGGTTAACAGCCTGGCTGGGGGTGTACACAGCTGCAAGTTCAGATCAGCCCTTGCAGACATTGTATTCCTCTGTTTGCACAGGATTCATTTTCCCCTGCACTTATACCCCACTCACACATGCACAAGCACACATCTACACACACAAGGGCTCCTCTAAGAAGATTACAGTAACCAGCAGTTATAATTTTACTTAAGCCTTTATGACGTTTTTAATTAAAAAGGCTTTAGTGCTTTTCTAGCATGACATTTGATTGCACTCCAGATAATGCACCCTTGCCGATTCTGGCAGGAGAAAGCATTTAGAAAATATATGAAATATTTTTATAAGGAGTTTTACCCAATCTGTCTTCAATGAAAGATATAATGATTTCAAACTACGTGTATTCTTTTGAATAAAACAACAACATATGCCAGAGCAAGATAGCTGAAGAAAATCACCCTGTACAAACCATTGTCCGTTTAAAACTGTGTTTTCATTTACACTGCCTGAGTTCAGGCTTAGGTTTCCTATGGGAATTTACTCAAATATATGGTACAATTTTAATGCACAGATGAAATGAAACCTGCACCAAACTGCTTCTTGACTGTCTGGGTAAACCTGAGTCTGATGTCCTTGTCATCTGCACCATTTTAATTTCTTTGACTTAATCCTGATTTTCACCTCAAGCAGATGCTCACTCCAAAGAAGCTGTCAGAATCGTGCTTTAATATTACTTTTACCAATATTAATATGTATTTTCCTTTGATTTTTTTTGCATGTAGTCCTTTATCCAGTTTGGTCAGCAGTAATCACACCTCTCTTAAATGTGGTACCTTGGTAATCTTTAAATCTTGGTAAATTTTAAAAGCAGAAATGCTGTTTACTAAAGACTACACACACTTTGATATGGATGCATTTTAGCCCTACAGAATTTTAGTCCCACTAGCATTTGGAGGTAGCCACTGACAACAGCATCTCCCATATCTTCCTCAAAATAATAAATATCTTAGAGAATTATTTGATCTTTTTTCCCAGTTAGTCAGTTTCTGACATTTCACAGTGTTTCCACTCCAATTGAATCTGATGTGTTATTTTTTCCTAAAAATTATGTCTAAGGGAAAATAAATCAAGCCATAGTGCACCTTTTGAACAAATTAAAACCATTATTTTTCTGTCCGTAGCAAAACAAACAAACAAACAAAAAAAAAAAACAACAAACAAATGCATAAATATCTGTATATGTTGAGCTGAAATGAATTGAGAAAGTTTTACTTCTATTAATAATAATAACCCTGCAGAAACTTTCGGTGATGGGAAACGTCAGCCATTTCCTGATGGATTTGTCTACGGCTCCACTGGGATAATAGACAAATGCTTCCAATATGGATTTGTCCTGGTAGTATCCCTATGACATGAACAGTTCTCACTCTTCTCCTTCCATGGATGAGGACAAAAATATTCACATCAATACTTTCTCCTCATTTATTAAACCCTGACTTGAAATGACAGGCCCCAGTTTTTTATACAATGTTGTTTTATGGCACTTTACTTACCATAGGACACTTTCTTTATTCTGAGCATAATTCTTATTGACTCCAGTTGCCACCCTGAAAGCCCAGTGCTGCTGCAGACATCAGAAGTCTTTTGGTAGGCCCTACAGGGAGAGGCACACTCGCTTAACTGACACCTGTGAATGAGAAGTTATTTAATGTAATATAAAATCATATAATATTAAATAATAATAATAATAAGTGATTGTCCAGAAATCAGGTCAAACGGAGTTTGACATGACCCTGCAAAAGCCCTGGGGCTCAGCTGGATCTGCCTCTGGCCTTGGCTCATCTGTCTGTGTAAAGGAAATGATGGAGAAGGTGACTAAAACACTGATCTTCAGAGGGTGCAAGAGGAAGTAAGGATGAAGAATGAAGAAAGTAGAGACAGAGGTGCCAGGGAAGAAGCTATGTGTCACAGATTAGAAGTAGCTCTCCAGGGAACACCACTGGGGTCCAAGCTTTGTCCAGAAATTTGACATCAACTTTGAAAAAAAAAATTAAAAAAGTGATCACGTTGCATCTTTGGAAGAGCTGGGGAGAAAATTTTTACCTTCATTTAGAATTCACAGTCAGAGGTCAGCATTAGCAGTTTCTCCCCTTTAGCAACCAACAAACATTCCCATGACTGCAAGCCCTTCACTGCTTTAATGCTTATAGTGAGACAAGGGTTCTTATTAATGAGGTTTCACTAAAACCCCACCTCAATCCATTTTCTGAATGCCATTATTTTCTGTCACATGTGAGACAAAGATATGGAGAAATGTCCCCCTGGACTGAGCTTTGCGAGTCTTATCTCATTCACCTACAACTTGGGCCTCCAACTCTTCCCCTTGAGATACACACAGAGACCAGCAGAAGCAGAATGCAGTCCTCCACTGTGAGCCCTTGAGTATATAGTCCCTTGCTTTTGGCTCATAACCAATTTTTGATCTTTACCCTGATGTCACAGAACCAATCAGACAGCGACACTGATGCTGAACTCTTCTCAGCCTCACCATCAGCCTGCAGTCACGATGGGGCCATTCGGTAACCTTAGCCAATGTCTTCTGAGCTGCAATGAATGGGAAGACCCCAGAGGCCTGTGACATTGCCAGATGCTGATAGTTTTGTGGGGTAGAAGCTAAAGGCACGTTTCTGACATTCAAGTCAGAAAATGCTGGCAAAAGTGTACAAAACTAAAAAATGGTGTCTTAAAAGGACAGATTTGAGGCAAGTTTTGCCACAAGTACTGCTGCTTGCTCTGTTTAGAAGAGGTATGCACTTACAAAGTACTTGCAGTTGTTGAGGGCAAATTCTTCAACAGTAAATTTTTCCCCCGCTTTAAGGTCAAAATTCAGTATAACAGTGTGGAGATAACACGTTCCCTACACAATGCAATTTTGTAATTTCTTTAACACCATTAATTCCTATGGCTCCTTTCATTACTTCTGGCCTAAAAGATATCAAGGGAAGGAGGGGGAGGAATTCCTACTGACTTGAAAGAGATTTTTAGAAGCAGCATATTATGGAGTGCAGTCCCCCTATTCTTAATGGCCCAATTTTGTTCAAAGAATGCTTCAAGGCATTCAAAAACACTTTAAAAGCAGCAGGTTCTCTACTACATATATCAAGTTGCAGCCAAGAGTGAATTTTATAGCCCATTGAAAAATAAGATTGTATTATGGAAAAATCTGGCACGCCCTTCATTATTGCACCCTGAATGAACTTATTACAATAAAGCAAACTGATAAAACTCAAGAAGCACAAAAGGTACTTTGGTAAAAGGACAGTGGATCAATGTAGAGCATACATCACCACAGAGCTCTGGGAATCTTGAGTTTTTAATCAAAATCACTGGTTTGTAACCTTGTGGCACCCCTTCTGTACAGTTGAATGGGAAACCAGAGCAGGATGCACTTGTTCAAGGAAATGTATCATTAAAAAATCCAGTTACTTTATGTTAGTTATAACAATCAAAGACAGTAAAGCCTAGGTACCTGCAACATAGAAGCCTTTTACTCTCTTTAGCGGATTAACATCTTCAGTTTCTTAGGCAGGGGAAGAAGTTAGAATGCATTTACTTCAGATGTATAAAGCAAATGAGGCATAAGGGATATGGGATCACAGTATTATTTAGATACTTCATTTATGCAGTTCTTGTCAGTTTTAGTTACATAATTATCTCAGAGAATCTGATTTGGGAGAGAACAATGATAGAAAAGGAAAACCTTGCTTCAGCAGTGCTCTTGTAGGAATGAAGTACTGTGTTTGAACCCTGCGCAAATAAAGGGTCATGTGAATCATCTTATTTAATATTTCTTTTTCCCTTTTCTCTTAGAGAGGCAGCAGAAGGGCATATGTGAAAGCTACATCTTTTTGCCTTTTGGTAGCTTAGGCAGTTTAGGCAGTTCTCTCTACAGAAAGAAATCAAGAATTTGGAAAAACAAGGGGAAAAAAAGAAAAAGAAATGCTTACCACATGTATCAAAATGCCTTTAAGCTGTGTTTTTGCTTTCAATTAAGTAAGACCTCATACCTACTGAGATAAACCCTTCTGTTCTTCCTCTTTATTTTTATGTTTTCATATCACCTGAATGATGTTGTGTTCATCTGGAGCTATAATCACACCTTACATCCCAAATCGTTTTATTCGGTCCTCTTACTCCCTCTCGTGGCTGCATATCAACTGTACAGAATCTCTAAAGGATGGGCTGTGGGACGACAGAAAACATCAGAAGATACAGCATTCCTCTAATGCGCTGCAGACTTCCCTGCATACATGAGCATGTCTAATACACTGGATTAATAAAAACACTGCAAGAAAAGAAACTTCAAAGAAAAAGAGCTGGCATCTCAGCAGCTGCCGGCACGTGAGTGGAGCGAGTTAGGTGGGTCATAGCCAGCTGTCTGTTGTGCAGCACTTTGACAGAATTTGTGCAGCAATTTGACAGAACCTGCTGCTTTTAAAGTGTTTTAAAGTGTTTATGGCACAGGGCATTCTGAAATCAGATTGCTCACATCCCATGTGCCAGATCCGCTCCCTATGTGAAACAATCTGGATGAGCATTAGAAAGCTCTGTGAGTTCCCTCCAGGAGGCCTCCAGCAGATTGTTTTGTCAGATGTTGGCCACCCTGCCCCAGGGCCTCCTCCAGACCTCCAAGAGAAGCTTCCAAAAGCTGGAATCACCTCCCCTGAGTGGTGGGCCTTTCTGCTCCTGAGCCACCTTGGGGGCACCTGGCTCCTGCATCTCCTTTTGGGCCTCAGATTTCATGGTACAGAAGGTAGAATACTTTTTACCGAGATCAAAATAAGAGGAACATAATATCTGGAGGAAGCACTCCTTTCTGAACCAGACAGCGCAGAGCATTGGGGACATGAGTTGGTCATGTAGACCAACAGAGAGCCCTTGTTGCAAATAACAAAATAACATGCAATTGAAGATTTCTGCTTCTGTCTGGGATGAAAAGAAATTGTTTCACAAAAGAAATGAGAAACAGAGAAATTCTGCCCCTTTGATACCCTTTTATGCTCTAAAACAGATCATGGGGACAGAGTGTTCTTCTGAGGTTTCTTCAAACAATTCATATACATTGCTTCAAATATTTGATTCTTGCTGAAGCACATGAAAATAATTACATCTGAAGGCTGTGAACTTCTGCCTTTTACATCCTGAAGCAGGGTGAGATACTAACCACCTCTAACCAGTGAGCAGGACCTAATGATCTGTCCCTGTAAAAGTCTAAGGTTCAGCACAGAGACTCTTCATATTTGGACTTTAGATTCCAAATCCACCATGTGGAACCCATCAATCCCATGCTGAGGAAAAATATCAGAGCTCAGAGTGATAATCTGTAGTGGACCAAAACAAAAATCCAAACCAAAACTGCTCTTAAGGCAGCTAGATGCACTTCCAGTCTTCTGTGACTTACACCAGCTCTGAAGACCATGCATTCAGCACTGACAATGTCCGCATCCCAGGGGACAAAAGCAAACAGTAATGTTCCTAGAATCATAGAATTATAGAATCATAGAATTATAGAATCATAGAATCATCAGGGTTGGAAAAGACCATTAGGATCATCTAGACCAACCATCGTCCCCAGCATACCAACTAACTGCGTCCCTCAGTGCCACATCCACAAGTTTCTTGAACATCTTCTTGACTCCACCACCTCCCTGGACAGCTTGTGCCACTGCCTCACCACTCTTTCTGAGAAGAAATGTTTCCTAATATCCAACCTGAAACTTCCCTGTTACAATGTAAGGCCATTACTTCTCATCTTATTTGTTGATGCCCCAGACATTCTGGATGTTCTGAAGATGGATTCAGGGCATTCTCCATTACAGTGAGCCATAGCAATGGCATGCTTGGATGGAACAGGCATCTCTGGCTTTTCTCCAGCTGTGTTCAAGTATGTTTCTGCCCATTTTCTCCCCAGTACTGCAATCCAAAGCAAAGAAAGGTCTGATATTACTAGGAAGCTGTTTCTCTGTAATGTATAAACCAAAACTAAGAGCTAGATGGCCAAAATCTTTTGATCCTTCCTTCCCACTGACCATCTCTTTACTCCCTTTTTGTATCAATTCCTCCAATTCCACTCCTTAACCTGGCAGTGAGAAATGCTAGAATCATTCGCCTCTTTATTTTTCCATGCAGGATATGAATCAACACCATCTACAACATTTTCATTTCTTTCTCAGTGAGTGCAGATGCTGAGGAAAAGAACAAAACAAAAACAAACCCTCAAACAAAGAGGTGAAACAATGGTAAGAACAAGCCTCCCATGAAGCCTTCAAGCCTGTTGTGGTTTTATTGATACAGACCACTCTGAGAGTGGGATTTCTCATCACTTTACCATCTGTAGTCCCAAGTGAAGGCAGAAAGAAGTATATAATAGAAGTAGAACTTCAGAAGCTTCCCAGGCAGCTTCTTGTGTGGCTAGGTGTGGTTTAGAATCACAGAATCATAGAATCACAATATTGGAAACGACCTATAAGATCATCTAGTCCAACTGTCTACTCATCACCATTGCCACCACAAGCTACTAAACCATATCATGCAGTATGTGAGTTTGAGTGTTTTAATCACGTATAAAACACTTCTCCTATCCCTACTGCTGATGTTTTCCAAAAATTGATAAACACAGTATATTTCCATATCTACCTGCCAAAGATGGAGTCAGAACTCTAAATGAGTTGCTTACACAGTGTAGGCTTTGATCAAGGAACTCAGTGCAGCAATTATGCACAGCTTAAAGGCCACCAAAAGTATGAAAATGGAAAAATCTGAGCAGAAGGTCCATGTTAAATCATTTTTTCTACCAGTGCAAGGCTCACACACTGACCTTGAAAGTACAGGGATGGAAATGCTCTTCCTTTGTACAGGAGATTGACAAAATGCAATCTGGGAAGACATAACCATGGTTCAGAGCTTTACTCTACCTTAAAAAATTGAATCTCTTTCTCTTTTTGCAGGTAAGAGTGAGGCTAAAATTGCTTTGGGAATAATAGTGTTCCTGCTCTTGTAGCCCTGTGGGGAAAAGACTAAGAAATCAGCACATTTCTCTCTCCTGTGTGAGAGAAGTCATGCTCTACTACAGAATCACAGTACAGACATACACAGTGTTTTTAGAAGTGTGCTAAATGGCATTCAGATCTGGGGAAGGAACGCACATGTGGAGCATTACAATCAATAAAATTTCCCTTGCACAGATCAGGTTAGGTGTGTTCATCCATTTTTACTTACCAGGGAGCAACACAGGCAGCTTGGGGAGTTTCTGGGATCTGCTGACCCTCAGTTGCCATCCCTTATGGATGTGCATGATATTTCCATGTGGGAGGCATTTGCAAAACATTCCTGTCATTGAACTAACCTATGGATTCGAGACAAATTTAAATCCCTACACCATCCCCCAGCAAGTGCACAAACATAAAGGCACAGACACACACAGCTATCTGTCAGGATGTTGTGCATCTAGTCCTTTTTCCTTGCAGTGCCACAGAATTGTAATCCTGCATCTGTGTGACTCCATAATAGGTGATCAATGTTTGGAACAGGAATATCTCTTTTTTTTTTTTTTTTTAAGTGCAGTATTTAAATTGTTTTTTGTGCCCTTGATGGTATGACCTTCAGGAGGGAAATGTGTGTTCTCTGAGTCTGCCATTTGTATGACTATCCCGTTTTTTTCCTGTCTTATTTGCTGTTATAGCTCCTGCTGAGCACAGCCTTCCTCAAACCTCCCTGGCTCAAACCTCCCTGCTGGCCAGTGGGCTGCAAATCTGTAGCAGCTTTCAGGTTTGTTTGATTGAATTGAAAGACTTCTACTGGATTCCTCTCCCCTCCCTGAGGGTCTTTCTGCAGCTCCTTGTATCAAGTTTGTGAGGTATGTGCAGCCCTCCAGGGATTTTGTTGGGGTGAACCCCTAGGACTGCTGGTGAATCTGCAGATATGAGAAGCTGTGTTCTGCTCCCTTTCTCCAGGACAGTGCTTCAGCTGCTCTTTTGATCTTACCCCTCAGATCCAGTGTTTTTGCAGGGTCATGTGAACAACAGGTTTTACCCAACAGGTTCAGATTTTCAGGAAAACCCTTGTAAAATGCCAAGCAATTTCTTACTAAGATCAAACACTTTGAGTAAGGGAGTCTATTTTAGGTGATCACTGGCAACACAACATAGAGATTCTTCCTTTGTGTTGCAGCTGCAAATAAACGAATATCAATTTCCTATACAGAGACCACACTCTGATCATTTCCTATCTGCCTGCTCAATGAAACTCCCACACATGTAAAGGAGAGGCTATTTACAGCACCTTGAGAGCAGTTTGTTGCCCAGATGATGCATCCTCTAGTGGAGGCAGCTGTGGTTGTAAAGCAGATGAACTCTGGGGGTGCGTTCCTCACTGCAGTAAAAGCACCATATGGCAGTGCTGGTGGTAGCTGCAGAGCTGCACTACTGTGGGGAAGCTGAGTCACACCCAGCTATATGCTTCTGATCCCAACACCACAATTTATCCCAAAGCCATTTCCAATGCTGAGAACCACAAGTTAAAGCTAGCTGCAAGGGCTTTCCCTTCAATAAAGTGCCTGTAATTCATTTACCAAATAAATTTGTTGTAGATGACATGAAATTAGAGCAAAACCCCCACTATTTGGGCAAAAAAATTAAAATCTACAAACTGCATTATTTAGGGATGTCTATATTGCTCTTAGGAGAACATCTCCAGTAAAATGCTGCGAAGTGAGAAAGCTCAGATGACAGTACTTTTCAGCAACTTTTAACAGAAGCATTGTACTCTATTTCTCTGCCATGAGGGTGGTGAAGTGCTCACACTGGCTGCTCAGAGAGCTGTGGGTGCCCCATCCCCAGAGGCACACAAGGCTGGGTGGGTGGAGGGCAGCCAGTCCACAGTAGAGGTTTGGAGGGTGGGCGGGCTGTGAGGTCTCTTCCAACCCAACCAACAGGTGATTCTGATTGCATGGTTCTGTGCTTCTGTGATCCTATGATTCTAAGATTTTAGAGTGAAAATTAAAAATATCCTTAAGATAGCTGAGATTCATTAGCATGGTACATCACTCATTACTCATCACTCCAACATAATGCAAGCCTGACCAGTACCACTAAAACCAAGACTTTGGAACTGCTTCTCTAGGGGAGTATTCACATCAATGACAACAGTTTTAGAGTTGCTGGCCCAGAAGACTGACTGAGAAGACTCCAGCTGTGTGAGGTGGTCTAGATCCTCTGAGAACTTCTTCCTTTAGTCTTCTTGAGATATGCCTGCTTGCTCACATTATTTTTCATGAAAAAATCCACCTCCAAGATGAAGCAGCTGTGCAGACTGCACTATTCCTGCACTGTGCATCTGGCACTGATGGGGGTGGGCAGCAGGAGCACTAACTGACCCCGCTGGAACTCCTCCTGTGCCTGCTGCAGGCTTAAATAAGGGCTTTATCTGTCTGCCTCCTCTCATAAGCAATGAATTTGCAGACATAGGAATACTTTACTTCATATTTCCCCTGTTTGGGAGTACATGACATGCACTGTTTCTATGGCTGAATGAAAGGTCATGACTGACCAGCTGGTAACACAGAATGTGGGCTTACACTAATGACAGGGTATTCAAGTTTTGCTTCGTATTACAATGACTGCATATTTACATAAATCCTACATTTCTTTAACTAAATTAAGCCAGAGTGTGATGATTTTTCTCTTCACAAAGAAGATGATTTAACTTCATTGAACACAGTTTTCCATTTAGAAGATCAAAGTTGGTGCAGCTCCCTGCAGCAACAATTCCATCTTATGCACTTCTTCAAATATTCAAATTAAGAAAATGGGGGAACTGGGGCTGAAAAAGCTAATGAATTCTGACAGACAGCTAGCAATGACTCACTGTCCCTTCCTTCCTTCCTTCCTTCCTTCCTTCCTTCCTTCCTTCCTTCCTTCCTTCCTTCCTTCCTTCCTTCCTTCCTTCTTTTTTTAATAAAAAATAATTTTATATATAATTTTTAATATATTTTTTTAATTAAAAAAAAAGAGAATATTTGAGGCCTTTGTTCATCACGGCCTTGGAAAGACATTTTTCCTTCGAAAGTTCCTTGGAGTAGGTCCTGACTTTCCTTCCTCCACAACTGTCAGGAACTGATAGCAGAGGCAGCATGCACATTTTTGGGCAAATTTCTAGGAGCTGGTAATGGTGTGGAGAGAGCACACAAAATACAGAATAAAGAAGAAAACCATAACACATTCTCCCCTGCTCCCATCTAGCGGGTACCACTACAAGAAAGAGAAGAGTATGGACCATGCTGTAGCATGTTCAAGGTTAGCCCTGAGTATGGAGGCTGAGGGTACAGGACCCAAGCTCTATTTTGCTTCCTAGGAAGCCTTTCTGCTCCACTTGCAACATGCAAAAGATGCACATTGCATCTACATAATGCACCTATCTTAGCATCTTAGCTTGGATCAGGAACATGCATTCAGAGTGTTTCCCTGACCACCCCTTCTTACCAGGCTTTGCTTTGCACTGTGTACAAGTCCTGGTGAACAGAGCTCCATTCAACGCTGAAACAGCAGATCTGGTGCAGGAACATATAGCAGCTGCTAATGCAAGACCAGCCCATGTGACAAGATTGGATCTCATCTGAAATGAATCATCAAAATACTTGTAAGGTATACACTGGGAGCTGCACTCCTCATTCCATGCCACCTGCTAATACAGGCACAGACAAGCAGGCTATGTCACTGTTTTCTAACCTCTCACTGCTTTAAAGTGCGAGCAGTGCCATTATAGGCACCATATGGTATCCCTGCAGGCCTCCAGCTGCCACTCTGCAGATGAACAGCTCACCCAAATGCCTTGTGTCATGACTGGCAGCTCTGCACAGACAACTCAGCAACCTCAGGGAGATGAACAGGCCCACCATGTCTGTGTTAAAGAATCTGAATACCACCTTACGTAAACTTTTGATCCACTCTTTGCCAACAAATAAATAAATAAACACACACAAAAAAGCAGTAAGTTACATCAAAATAGAAAAAAAGTGCTTAAAGTACTGTGGTGAATACTACACAATGCAATGCAATACAGTGTCAAGCAAAAGTCTCTCACATAAAACTCTCAGAGATGTTTTCAATAACCAAAACAAAACAAAACAAAACAAAAACAAACAAACAAACAAACAAAAAATTTTAACTCAAGCCAATAGAAGTATTATTTTATACCTAAGGAAACACTTGAACTTTACAAATATGTTTGCTTTTTAGTAAGGGCTGCATTCACTGACTTTAAAGCAGTAGTAAGAATTTCAAAGTTTTTTTAACTTTTTAATTTTAAGTTTTTGTGCATGTGCTTTCCTGGCAGCAGGATCTTTGCAATACCACGTCCTAAAGCCAGTTCTACATTAGTAAATAAGTAAATTAACAAATTGCTATGTGTACTGGGGTAGTAATAAAGCAAACATTCTTTGGCATATCTTTTACCCTTAGGCTGACAACCTTCGCCAGTGGTAAATAAATGAAGATGCTGAAGGATGAACATGCTTGGGATTGCCTGGAAGGGCTTGTGGTCACTGGCCAGCATTATGGCACGGGCCCATCCACAGTCTTTCTTGAATCATGTTTCAAAGATACACAAAAAAACAATTCGATCTACCAAGATTTAGCCTAAATTCCTCAATCTGGGTAATATTGTTTGGAACTTCAGAAACCCCGACCTCCTGTGGCCATTAAACTTTCCAGCAAAACAGTTCACAACTCAGTAAGCAGATAAAACTTTTGCTTGGCATGAAATGTTCAGTGTTCTTCAGGCCAGGTGCTTTCTCACCTGGAAAAGCCAGAGAATGCTTAGGTCAGGTGCATTATTTATTGGTAGCCTAGCGATCCATGCACAGTGATGCCCTCCACATGTGGAATTCAGTGATTATCTGAGAATAACTGAATACCTGGGTGCTTCATAAGCGTATCACCCACAAGGATGTATTTCCAGCCTACATGCGTGGCAGATCCCAAGGCTACTGTTATTCAGAATAACACACCAAACACAGCAGCATACATTATCAGTATGTAAAAATGCATTACATTAACAGCACATACTCACAAAGATAAAAGAGTTCAATAAAACTTATTTACGTTAAAATCATTGGGTTTGGAAGTTATTTTATCACCTTTTCTATAAAGATTGGATATAACCAAAGCAATACTACTCATTTTAATTTACAAGTTGGATTTGTTCATAATTATATTGTATAATACAGCAAAATAACCATAGTGTTTTAAATCAAATTGCATTTTATTAGTGTTTTTCCCTTTTCTTTTCCTTTCCTTTCCTTTCCTTTCCTTTCCTTTCCTTTC